TGCTGATCACAGCTTTTTTAGCCAAACCAACAACTCTGAAGGAGCAAAATCAGTTACGGCTAGGGCTAGGCAAAAAATCGAATGCGATTTTCATGCGAATCAAGCTACACAAAATCGCGTTCAAAATCGGCAATGAATTGCCTGCGATTTTGTGTAGCTTGTCAGTGAACTACGGCTCTGTGTAGTAAATGCCGCTCCATCTGAAAGCACGTGCTGGAGATTTACTACTAATCACCAGAAGCGGCTTTACTGACGAGATGCGCATGAAAATCGCATTCGATTTTTTGCACAGCCCTAGTTACGGCCCATCAGAATCCAATAATTATGCCTTCTAGAGAACATATTTAATAAATATTATTCATGCTTTGATATGGTCCCATCAATTAGTTGGCGAATTTATGCAGCCAAAGCCAATAATTTCAATTTCAATTTTAGTAAATAAAACAAAGATTATTGGAGTATGTTCTACAAGAAAATACTATTTCAGTCTTTCTAATCTACACTGTAAAAAAAAAGAATATTGATGTACATTTTACTATAAAATAAAATTAAGTTTCTCTACTTCAAATATTTACTTAAAAATCTTCTTTAAAATATTTTAAGATAAATTTTGTTACTTGTAATTTATTTTAATTGTTTGTGAAATTCACTAGCATTTTCTGAGTGACAGTGTTATTAAAAAAATGCACATTTAAATCAGTGTTTATTGTCATTTCTTTGTAATTATCTGTCAAATCTACAAGCAATCTTTGACTGAAAATCTACCAATATTTGCCCACAAACTTTAGCCAAATTTCACTCATCTGACCACACCTTAATAACACAATCCACCAGCTGATTGGTTGAAAGAGAGAGGCACAATCACATGACGCCGTGAACATCTATGGTCCATCTTCAGACATGTTTGACCTTAATCTCCACTAATCGTTTATCAACCACGACAAGAGAAAATAGCTCAAAGTCAGCTTATTCTTTTTGATGAATAACAAGCATGTTAAGACAAAGCAACAGAGACATTTCATACAATCCGTAATCCCATTCCCAATGATATGCTATATCATCATGTAGGATTGATATGAAAGGAAACAGAACACCTGTTGCATTTACCCTGCAATTCCGGTCACAAAAACTATTGCTACACTGAGTTCATGCCCCTTAAATCAAGCTTAGAATTTATGATGCATTAAAATCAGGACACAAGGCACATGTGGCATATTTGCAGAGCAATTACGGGCATGCAAATGTCTAGCCTGCCATGCCGATGGCAGCTGGTGTAATGTGTCTATGTAAATATCCAGCATCTGAACTTAGTGAGTCACAAACAAACACTCCAAATCCACAGCAAAAGCTATTTATTTCTCTCCTCGTGATCCTCTCTGTGCATTATTGTCCAGTCAATCCATACCAGATGGTGAAAAGTGCATGGCTAGAAGGCAAAGGTTCATGATGAAGCACAGCTGGCTTGGTGGCACATACCTGGTGCCTGTTGTGCTTCATCAGCGTTGCTATAAATTCCCATCCAAGAACCCCCAAAAAAAGCATTTGATGTGGTTCCACCTGGACTCTGTTCAGAATACAATTTCATGGAGCATAATTTTGATATAAACAGGTTTAAAATGCAGCAACCAAACAAAGAAAAAGGCATAAATTAAGGAACTTAATAAATAAAGAGAATACAAATGTAATTTCTTAATTAAAAACAAAATTTAACAAAATCTGTAAAAATCCACCAAATTCAGATTTCCCATCTACTTCCAAAGCAGATGCATTTTATGGAGCAGTTACAAAGGTATTATATTAAAAGTATATTTTTGCAATGAAACAATTAATTGTACCAAAACAATTTCAGAGCTAGTAAGGAATTCTAATCAAATTAAATGTAAATAATTAAAAAATAAATAATACAATTTAATTTAATAAATAAGAAAATATAAAACAAAATAAAAATATTTACACCCATATATATAAAGATCCTGTTCAATGCTCCACAATTGGTTTTCTGTTCCTGAATCTCAACTGCATTACACTAGCATTCACTCTCACACAGACTAATTTCTGTCATTACTGCCCTGTGCAAATGCTAATTAAAAATTGCTATGAAAAGCTAAATAGGAAACTATTCTCATCTCACTAAGGGACTTGTGGCTTTGCAGCACACAAAGTAACAGCTGTTATGCACATGTGCATAATAATATCCCATTGCCTAGGACATGAAAGCAAATGCCCCATATTTTCCCATTCATTGATCATCATTCAGTTGTGTCGATGTTAGACCGCCTGCAGGTCACCTATGAAGCCATCAGAGTATTTAAAATCCATGAAAAATTACAATGAATTAGTGCAAAGCACAAACCATCCATGATACAATAAATTATCCTACTAAACTGCACTGCGTAAACCTGAATATGAAATAGCACTAGTGTCGACCTTCAGTAACAGCAAAAGCAAAGAGTCCACAAAAAATACCTGCAATAAAATTTGGCAATTAGACAATGTCCTGAGTTATTTTAAAATAACTCTCTAAATAGCATCACTGATTCTAATTAAATCACGTTTGACATACAACAGCCTGTAACCTCATAAACAGACCACATCCTGGTATTTTTGGCATAATGCTGCATGTATTGTACAGTAAATTACACCTGACGTCCATTAAAACACTGACCAATGCAGTCGGCCTGTGGTTTCATCACTTGACAGAAAAGAACAATTGTAGCCTTTTGCATTCTCTGTTTGTGGGTTTATAATATTTCAGTCTTTCATCATGCCTGATATTTTACACATAATAAATGAATAAATTCCTCTATTATTTTCAGTCTTTTTACAGCATGAAGTAAATATTCTCATTTAATTTTCTCAAAATCATAATTGACTGCATGTGTCAAGCTCAACAATTTGATTCAACCCTGTTGCCCTCGATATTAAGATATATCATATATCTATATATATACATATATATATTATATATATATATATATGTGTGAGTGTGTGTGTGTGTGTGTGTGTGTGTGTGTGTGTGTGTGTGTGTGTGTGTGTGTATGTGTGTGTGTGTGTGTGTGTGAAATATATATGAGAAATATGCCATAAATATAAAGTTGATCATCCAACAAATGGGTCCTATTATTCAACACTTTATTATAAATTTGCCATCCTGCTACTGCCAACGTTTGTTTATTTATGTATTATTAAAACATTATAACCTATTTTAGATGTTCATTTAATGTAAAACTGCAACAACAAAAAAACACAAAACAGGGTATAAACTGCATTTAGACAGGTCCCAAATTTTAACAGGGTTGCAAAAGTTATGAACACCAA